CAAGTGACCGGGTGAACCTGAAGGACCACTGGCCAACATCAGCTGTGTGCTTGGTCCCTGGCTCCTGGAGAAGGAGTCGGCAAGGCTGAAGGTGTATCCAAAACCCTCCAGCTGGAGATGACGCGAAATGACACTCTGAGACCAGAGGTGACAGAAGGAATGAAATTCAAATTTGGGTGGCCATTTCCCTTATCCCAGACACGCTCTTCTTGAAGCACTGCTAGGGGCATGCTGACTATACTCAGGAAATTTAGCAAAGGGCCCACTGGTACTTTATTTCAAGCCCAAGGGTTTCCCAGACTGGAGCTAGGAGCCTAATCCTATATCGAAAATGGCAGACAGATTGGAGCTCACATCTAGACTCTGATCTGTCAAGAATAACTGCCTCAAGTGCTGCGCTGGGGATTTAGAGGCTCAGGAGGAGAGATAGAGATCTATTAGTGATGTCTGGCCCTGGCGTCAAGTGGGGAAGGGTAAGTACTTGTCAAGGTACTTGTTATCCCCACCACATACTACCCTGAATCATTAACCAATGGGCACAGCACAGACTCCTTCTTAGGCGGGCAGGCGTTTAGAGCAGTCGGTTGCTCAGCATGCCGACAGACAGCACAGCTTGGAGCTGGGCTTCTGGGCTCTCTTTCAGGGATGGTGTCTCCTGGTACAGCACAGATGCTTGCTGGTCCCACTCCTTTTTACCTGTGGGGTCACCCAGATGAGAGACAAAACTGCCAGGGTCTCGGTAACAGGTTTAGCATGAGCATCCCAACTTCAGCTCAAGTGGCCGGCCCAAGTCACGCTCAAGCTTGCCTGTGAGTGCCAAGGTTCAGGGCGACCGGGGAGAGCCTGCATTAGGCTCTCAGCTCTGAGAGGGTAGTCTGGTTGTCTTTGAATCCCCGGTACCTAGCAGGTCATCTATAAAATTAGAATGAAAGGAAAGCAAGAAGGAAAGAAGAAAATAAGGGGAAAAAGGTAAGGAAAGGGGAAAAATAAGAGAAAGGGAAGAGGAACAGGAGAAGAGGGAGATGGGGAGGAGGGAAGAAAGGCTAGTTTCAGGCATTGTACTGCTTTCCAAAAATGCCTACAACCCCTCCCCCTCACCTGTTCTTCATACTCTTCCACAAGATGTGTCCATCAGGGTTGTCTGGCATCTAGGTAAGGTTAGGCTGTGGTGAAGACAATCCTAGTGCCTTCTCTGGCCAAGTCGGAAATAAAGCTTCTGCCTAGGTCTCTTAGGATGCTTGTTCCGGTGACCCAGACACCATGCATGAGGAAGCCCAAGCAGCCATGGTGAGGTCCATGTGGAGGGAATCCAAAGCCTCTGTCCCAGCCCAGCCCTGACTGACGGTCCAGCTGATGCTACAGGAGCAGAAAATGGACGTCTCTGCCAACTCCTGCCCCCCTGGCGGATCTGAGAGCAAAAAAGGTGACTGTTGTTCTCAGTCACTGAGTGTTGGGATGATTTGTTACACGGCGTAGATGACTGAAACACACAGCACACATCAATAGCTTTTCTAAAGGTCACCTCTGGCTCCTTCTCATGACCCCTCGGTGGAGGAAGCTGGCCAGATGCCTGGGCCTTGGCTCTCACCTGAGATCAGCGCCTGTGAGTTCCTCATAGGAAAGGAGCCGGTCATGCCGAAGACGCTGCTGTTGAAGATGGTGGCGGTGCCACTAAGGACCACTATGCAGACGATGGTGAGAGCAAAGAAGCCACGGGTCCAGGAGGAGGTATCCACCTTCACCAGCGCAGTCATCACCACAAAGGTGGCCAGGATTATGGTCATTGAGGCCAGGATACGGACACGGGCTGGAACCCTAGGCGGAGGACACCAGAAGTGCTTAGATACTCCCTTGAGACTCCCATGCAGGGCTGGGCTGGAGAACCATCTTAAGGAAGCAGATGAGCTGCTCAGTGGTTGGAAAGGTCTACTCGTCAGACAGGAAGCTAGGGTTCGAATCCTGCCTTCCTGCTCCTAGCTATGCAGCCTTGGGTGAGCCACTCAGTTGCTCTGGTTTTAGCAGCACTTGTACCACAGGGAGGAAATCGGTCTTCCTCCTGGGGTGTGTGAGCCTGTGGAGTACAGACAGCAGCGTTGGTTCACAGGGCTCCGGGTGAACACGCAGGAGCTGCCGCTGCTTTTCAGCCTGCCGTGGTCCAAGGACAGGTGCTAGGCTTCTGAGGCAGACCTTTGCTGTTCTTGCCACAGGGCTGAGCACTCCCAGCTTTGTCTAATGTATAAACAAAGCCACCACACATTGGGGTTCCTTCTCCTGAAACTTAGCAGTGGGATGCTGGGGGAGGGGAGACAGGGAGAGCACCATCATCGTCGTCATCGGCACTGCAAACACCCACCTCCAACCTCATTTGTGCCAGCATTCTTCTAAGGGTTTTCCATGTGCGGTCTGGCTGGGCTCTCACACCAGCTCTGTAAGACAGCTACCCTCACCTAGCCCAGGTACACAGGTAAGGAAGCTAAGGTCGGAGAGGTTGAAGAACTAGCTCAGGGCCATGCAGCTGGGAATGCAGGAGCTGTGGACTCCCAGAATGATGCCACCAGGATAATGGAAATAGGAGTGGCATGCGACAGGTGGCCAGGCAGGGAGGCTCCTGTGATGGTCTTACTTGTCACAGTCAGCAGCTGATACCAAGCAAGCTCAGCCCCTGTATCCCCCCAACACCACGTCTGTGTATCAGCCACACTCTTGCCAGTTCTTACATTACCCTGAGAGGAAAGCAGGGAAGGAGGCTGTCTGAGAAACTGCGCATTCTTATTCGAGAGAGAGGACACCATCTCGAGGGGTTGTTTAAATCATCAGATTAGACTAAGCTTTAAACCGGATTGGCTGTTGAGTTAATTTTCCTGTTAACCAGTAGGTGGGGGCTGGGAGAAAAGCCAAATTACAGATACACAAATATTTGTTGGATTAAAAAAGAAGACAAAGTTCAAAGATAGAAAAAAAAATAGGTATATAAATAGGTTTGAAACGATGAGCATGAAAAGCAAGAAAGGGTTTTTTCAACACGCTTTTGTGGCCCCAGGCCAATTTGAGCTTCCTTCTGATCCGAAGCTGAAGGAGGAGCAGGTGCCACTCTGCTCTGTAAGGGGCAGAGGGAGTCTGAGGATGGGAAGGCATGGTTCAAGGTTGCAGAGGTGTCCAAGGCAGCAGGCTGAGAAGCCAGGTGAGCTGAGCCCCAGCCTGTTACTCCGTCTGCTAACCCGTGTCCTTGATGCTGTGTTCATTTGCAAACATGCATGGAACAGCCACAGCGAGGCAAGTGCCAGATGCTCAGGACACAGGACAGTCCAGCAACGGGCATTTCACTCCACCATGTGAAGTGCCCCACGGAGGGCCACAGGGCATCTTGGGGCACAACCAAGGGCATGACACCCACCCCGGGCACCATGGAAGGCTATGAGGAGGCAAGGTCTATGCTAGACGGTAAGGAGGAAGGGGAGGCACATCATCCTGGGAGACAGAGTGAGGCAAGGTCAGAGAACTGAACATGGACGTGGGCTACAGTCGCAATGGGAGCAGAGGCGTGCAGAGCTGTGGCTGGGAAGATGCAGAGGACCTGCCTAGAGGGCCTTGTCCACTCTGATAAGTGTCAGGACTGAATCCTTGGTGTGTGTGTGTGTGTGTGTGAGAGAGAGAGAGAGCGAGCGAGCGAGCGCATGGGGTCTTACTCTGCCAGCATCCCTCCCCCTAGGAAAACCCCTCCCGTGGGCTCCTGCCTCCACCCAAGTCATCCTAAGGAGATGCCTGGCCACACTGCCCATACCTAGGCAGCCACACATGATGGCTCATACCGGAGGAAGGGGAGGCACATCATCCTGGGAGACAGAGTGAGGCAAGGTCAGAGAACTGAACATGGACGTGGGCTACAGTCGCAATGGGAGCAGAGGCGTGCAGAGCTGTGGCTGGGAAGATGCAGAGGACCTGCCTAGAGGGCCTTGTCCACTCTGATAAGTGTCAGGACTGAATCCTTGGTGTGTGTGTGTGTGTGTGTGTGTGTGAGAGAGAGAGAGAGCGAGCGAGCGAGCGCATGGGGTCTTACTCTGCCAGCATCCCTCCCCCTAGGAAAACCCCTCCCGTGGGCTCCTGCCTCCACCCAAGTCATCCTAAGGAGATGCCTGGCCACACTGCCCATACCTAGGCAGCCACACATGATGGCTCATACCCAACCCGGGGTGACCTGAGTGTTCCCAGCTCCTGGCCAGTGGCATCAGGTTAGCAATTAGCACATGACCCACACAGGGCCAGTCTTTGCAGGAACTGATACGTGGAAGGCGGCAGAGGTCAGCGCTCTGCCATGTCTGTGTCTAGGCTTCTGGTTACCATCTTCCCAGCTGTGTGGGGAGAGGCTACGTAAGAAATGAAGCCACATGGAGACACACGGAGCCCAGGAATGGTGCAAGAGAAAGAGAGCTCCTAGATCCAAAAGTGCCTGAAGGCAGACCCGACTTTAGTTTACCTTTCTGTGCCTCTATCATGTGTTACCCAAGTGCCCACAGACACGAAGAGCTACATCAGGGATTCCAGGTGGGGAACAACATGGCCAGAAACTGCAGCGATGTTGTCAGTGTCCTGCCACGTGCCCTTCCTCTTACTGGATGGACACCCTGGTCCATCAAGCAGGCTAGAAGTGTCCCTTCCTAGGAGCAGCCTTCAACCAGTGCCTATGGGGAGTCAGTGGATAAATACCCCAGCTCCCTCTTCCGAGGCTGAGGGTCCCCCATTGCCCCACTGGATCTCAGAGGCCCTGACAGGTTTCAGCTCTGGTCATGCTGTGGGCGCTGGCTTGACAAGGCAGTCCTATTGGCTGGCTTCCCTCCCCTGTCTCCTACCTTCACATCCCAAATAAACTGCTTGCACTTGAGTCCTTGTTTCAGTGTCTGCTTCTAGGGAGCCTGATGCAGAGATGCCCCTAAGACCGCACACTGAGACATCTTCCCAGGGTTGGTAGGGGCCTCAGCCTGAAGGGGGGCTGGTGGGCAGCCTGGAGGACCCCAGGGGGCCCAGAATATCTGCTGTAAGAGCATCCCAGGTACCTTGGAGGCAGGCAATCAGCCTTACCCTGATGCCTGGGGTGATTCTACACACTTCATGTGGTGTCCCCACCCCTCTTAGCAGCTGGGCCGTCCCACTCACTCGCAAGGTAAGCGCTCCTGGGTCAGGAGGCTGGAGCCTGCCCAGCTCTGTCAGCTACTCACTGTGTGATTCCAGGCTAATATTCAACCTCTCTGGGCCTCAATCTCCTTGTCCCTAAAAAAGAAGAGGCTGGACTAGATAATATTAAGATCCTTAGCAGCTAATGATTCTGACCTAAAGAAAGAGAGCCTGGGGACAAAGGCCAAAAAGTTTCAGTCAGTTCCTTGGGGAGAAGGAAGTGTGTGGAAGAGGGCTATGAGGGTCACTACAGGGATGGGGCCCTGCTGGGTGGCCCCTCCAGCCCCAGCATAGGGCCTGGTAAGTATCTGTGGATGTATAAATTGACAAGCAAGGGTGATCAGTGGCGTGGGGCACTTTCCTGGTGGCCTAAGTCGCCTGTGCCGCCTGCTTCTCCACCCCTTTCGCACGCAGAGGGTCCAGCTGGAAACATCTGCTGGCCTCAGGAATGGCCTGGGCCTCTAACCACCTCTTCACAGTCACGGTGAGGAGAAGTCTGGCAGGAAGGCCGCTGTGTCACGGGAGCCCTCCCGTGTGCAGTCAATGCCAGGTCATCAGTTGCTTCAACAGGAAAGTTGCTTTGCAGAGGGCTGGGGACTTTGTACTTAGTCCCCGCATGGTGGAAAGCAAGGGGGGAGAGGGAGCAGAAAAGGGGAACAGCGATCATATGACAAAGGCAATGCAGGCTGCATGCTGGCATTTTTACCTTAGAAGGTCCCTCACCTGCACAGGGTCCATCCCGCCTGGTTTATCCGCTGCATAAACCACTCTGGACCACAGCTGCCATCCGCAGGCTGCAGGCCCTCGGGACCTCGCCGAGGGCTCCTTTCAATGCTCACAAAGCGTTCTAAAATATGCCACCTGCAAGCTCGCCCGTGCATACCAACCACACTTCCAGAGCAAGCTGGGTTCCTCTCTGCAACTGCCACCCCGGGCAGGACAGAGGTCCAGGTGATGTTCTTGGGACCTTAGGAAAGTCTAGATGAGCATTTCCCTGGGGTCTGGGCTTTTACTCTGGGCCAGGCCCTGACTCTCATGACAACTCCAGGCCTGAGGCCCTGGTGCAGGTCACACTACCATGAAGGTTCTTGGGGAGGGTTGCCAGCTGTACCCAGGCTGCCACTCCTACCCCCCCCCCTTACTCATGAGGGCTCAGGACCCTGGGGGACTGATTTCTTCCTAAGTCTCCAAAATGTAAATCCTCCTCATAAGTATTTATGATGCTGCAGATTTTACATAATAAAACACTTGGCGATTATGGATGAGCCAGTCGGAGAAAGCTCGGGTTCTTCAGGAGGGGAGAAAAGGAGACGTTTCAATCTCGCACGTTAAATACAAAACAGCTTAGCCCCAAACCGTCTTCCCACAATCTGGGGACAGATGGAAGCATTTTCCCTCATTGCCCTTGGCCCTCCGAGAGTCCAGGAGAGGGCAAGGGTGGGCAAGGGCAGAGCTAGACCTTTCTGGAGAATGTCCTGTAACTGCTGAGCCCTCCCTGCCCAGTCTCTGAGGACAGCTGGCCTGAGTGGCCCATAGACCTTTTAAACCACTGACCCAACAGCCTGAAGTCTGGGGAGAGAAGGGCTCTCCCTGGAGGTCTGAGATCCAAGCATGGTGTGAGAAGATCCCGGCTAGAACCCTCTACCCTTAGGACCTAGGAAAAGTCACCTCTGGGAACCTGTCTTCCTGTCTTGGAGCAGGGTCACAAAAATGCCCTGCTATGAGCTGCTGTGAGACAAAAGGAGGTAAGACACCAAGGGATGTGAGCACTCTGAAGGACCAATTATTGCTAGCAGGGAGCACGCTGCCAGGGCCCAGAGGCAGGACCTGACCTCCTCGTGGGAAGGGGCCTATGCCATGGCCTCCCTCCTGTGTCAGTGTGCATCCTCATGGATGTAACCAGGGGAACCGAGGCACTACCCCTGTTATAGCTGACACTGACTCTGGATCTAGTTGGGGGTAGGTGCTCTCACTTACGTAATCTTGGGCTCACCCAGCTGGACAGACACTCCTGTCCCTAGGGCCGGCTCTGTGAGTGGACAGAGAGAATACTGAGAGGCCTGGAAGGAGGGAGGGCGGAGAGGCTGAGGGTTCCCCACTGCATGGCTGTCACTCCTCTCTTCCTTGGCTTCCTCCTCTCGAGTGCCCTTCCTTTCTTCACACCCTCTCTCCTGCTTGGTGCTGCCAGGGAGCCTCTCTGAGGCTGTAGGGCTGAGGGGACACCCGGCTCTGCTCCTAGCACCATTCCATTCCTCCACTCTCCTCCCAGGGTGGGGTCTCTGCTTGGAGCATTGTGTGCTGGGGAAGGTGCCAGGTGAGGCCAGTGAAGAGCAGCAGCCTGCAATGGGGGCTGCACAGCCCTCGGGGCCCTCTGAGCACTGCTGTCTCCTCGCTCCCCCAGACTGCACTGTGGTTGTCAGATGGGTGCTGAGTCCTTGACATCTTCTCACTGGGAGTGGCCTACGTCCTTTTGAAACTGAGTGGGCTCTGTGACTGTCTTGACTAGTCATGGAAGTGACACTGTGACTTCCACGAACAGGTTGTAAAGCACGTAGCTTCTCCCTCGTTCTTCTGGAGCATTACTCTCCAGCCACAGTATAAACAGGCTCTTATTCTGAGGCTATGTGCAAGCCTATACGGAGAGAGGTGAGAGAGGAAGACAGAGAGAGAGGAGAATGTGACTGGGCTCCGGCCCTCGCTGCTGTCTGACTACAACTACATGAAAGGCGCTAGGCTGGAGCTGCCAGCTGAGCCTCACTGACCCCCAGAACATGAGTGGTACTAGTTATTGCTACTGTTTTAATCCACAGTGCTTAGCAATGGTATTTTAGCAGAAGAAGTCACTGGAGCAGACCCACAGCATATGTTTGGAAAGGTTGGTCTTTGCAGGCTTAGCAGACGAGGCACTGCACTGCCCTCTCTTAGCCTGTACCCAGAACAGACATCACTAATCAATCTTGGGACACTCCCTAAAACCACACCTGCCTTAGATTCCTGCTTTATCAGAGAAGCAGGCAGTCACTACAAATTGAGCAACAGTGGGTAGAACAGATTTGCCGCGAGTGATCTAAGGTTTCAGTGCTGTGCCCGAGAGAAGCCCAGACTTCCAGACTGTACTAGCCACCATTATCTCCTGTGGCAGCTTAGGGGAAATGCAGGCAAAATGTCTTAGGGTTTATTGTCCTTATAAAATCAAACGAGAACTGACAGAGACGGTCACCCAGTGGGGGCTAAGGGCCCTACTAATTTGCCTAGCTATCTCCTAAATGGTAATTCCATCTTTTTTTTTTTTTCTTGAGAGGTTTTTTGCTATAGGGCGCGTGCGCTCACCAGACAGACTGAGAGAGACAGAGAGACAGAAAGCGAGAAATCACCCCCCCAGGGGGGGATGGCCACACCACAATCCCTTCTCCTCCATTCTCCTCTCAGGATCTTGGACATGCATGCACATGTGCCCGGCGTGAGTTTAAGCCACCAGGTCCAGGACTTGAACCGTGGTTGACGACGTGGGAGTCCAGCAACATAGCCATTATGCTAACTGCTGGTCCCAATGGTAACTCCATCTTCAGTGCACTCAGATAGAGCCTTTTCAAGATCTTACTAATACAACACCAGCGATTCCTCCAGCCTCCTTTGTGAGGGGCTGATATATTACATGGGGTTAGCACGGAGAAGATGGGTGACCTGTCCTGAGAGTGGGCCTTGCAGCCACTGGTAGACAGGCTTAACCAGGGAGGAGTAGGGAGGAGACCCAGGTGTCCCCACACTCCTCCCACTGGCTGCTGACACAATGTCACTGCATGCAGCAAAAAGCAGAACTCTGTCCCCGTCACTGGTCTGACTTCTGTGGTCATCTACTTCTCTGTGAACGAGCCTGAGCTGCCTGCCTCCTATTGGTGGCCACTATTAAAGAAGACAGAAAAAAAGCCACTGTGGATAAGAGGGGAGTGGAGAATGAGAGGGAAAGGTTAAAAAAAAGGAATGGCCTACCTGTTGACAAGCAGGAAGTTGGCCACAAGGCACAGCATGGTGGGCACGGTAGAGGCAACGGCAAAGTAGCTCTCAAAGTAGTTCTGGAAGCACACAAGTGAGGAAGCTGCTTAGTCATTCAGGGAGAGGGCAAAGACAGGGCCCCCTCGGTGAGACTGACACCTGGGAGCCCAGCTAAATCGACACAGTTCCATTTACCTCCATCTCCAACCCGAGACTACTCAGTCAGTCAGTCAGTCAACGGACATCCATCAGCCAGCTGTGTTAAGTGCTGGGGCGATAAGGTGGGATAAGACATTGTCCCTGTTCCCAGTGAGTCTCTGGTGCCCTGCAGCCCACACCCTTGTCCATTCTACCTGTTCCACCTATGGATGAAGGCCATGGGGCAGGACTCACATCTGTCTAAAGAGAAAAGTTTTGCACCATCAGCCTCTTGGCCTATTACCGAAATGCAGGATTATCCACACAGGTTTTGTTATGACCCAACCAAGTTCTCTTGTTCTTGCAACCAAATGAGACCTTTTAGAAACTTGCCAGGCCTACCCTGTTCAAGGAAACCTAGTTCTGCCTCTGCATTTGCTGTTGATGGAGAGTCTATAGAAGGTCAAAGCCATTTTGCAAAGTGACTCCAAGTCTGGCCAGAATGAGGGAAAAGGGCATTTTCCTGACAGCACCTTGGGGATATGATCGAGAATATGTAAGACCAAAGACAGATGAAGAGCTTTCTGATTACGATGCACTGGAGTGCCTTAAAAAACTGCACAGCCACTGTGTGTGTTTGTCAAAATTCAGTGAATATCCACTCACTACTGTATACATGCTGTCTCTCAATACACCTGTCTTAAAAATGGCAACAGTGGGGCCAGCAGGTGGAGTAGTGGTTAAGGCACTGAACTCCTGTATGGCTGAACACGGTTTGAATCCTGGATGTGGTGGCTTGAAAATCACGCTGGGCATGTATAGACGTGTGCCCAAAATCCCAGGAGGAGAATGGAAGAGAAGGTATTGTGGATAGCCATCCCCCAGGGGAGTGATTTCCCACTTTCCATTGCACTGGTTCCTCTTCAGCAAGTACATGAACCCTTTGGCAAAATCCTTAACACACACACACACACACACACAGACACTGACAACAGCCAGCCTGTAGCCCGTGGTTAAGTTCTGTGCATATAAAGCTGGATCTCACATGGCTAACTGTGGTCCAAATCCCAGTCCTAGCAGCTTGAAAAATGCACTGGGCACTAGTGCATGTGTGTCTAAGATCCTGATGAGACGGAGAAACAGAGGAAAGGGGTAGTGTGTTAACCCAACGGGCAAGTGCTTCCTCGGTCTCTGGGAGTGCACATGCTCTCTGGCAATGAGAAATTAAGGACAAATGAACAAAAACACTGGAAAGGGTTATATATCTTGGCTTTGGTCCCTGTAAGTCAAACCATGAACCCCAGGCAGGCAATGTGAGTTCTAACCTGTCAGAGTAACTTTTTTTTTTTTTTTTGAGAGTATTTTTGCTACAGGGCGCGTGTGCTCGCCAGACAGACAGGGAGAGACAGAGAGACAGTGAGAAATCACCCCCACAGGGAGGATGGTCACGCCGCAATCCCTTCTCCTCCATTCTCCTCGGGATCTTGGGCACGCATGCACATGCGCCGGGCGGGAAAGTGGATTTCAACCCTGTCAGAGAAATTTTTTTTTTTTTTTTGAGAGTATTTTTGCTACAGGGCGCGTGTGCTCGCCAGACAGACAGGGAGAGACAGAGAGACAGTGAGAAATCACCCCCACAGGGAGGATGGTCACGCCGCAATCCCTTCTCCTCCATTCTCCTCGGGATCTTGGGCACGCATGCACATGCGCCCAGCATGAGTTTAAGCCACCAGGTTTGGGAGTTGAACCGCAGTCGACTACATGGGAGTTCAGCAACATAGCCATTACGCTAACTGCTGGTCTCCTGTCAGAGTAACTTACATGCATTTATTGTACCAAATACAAGGCTTCATATGAACTCTACAAACAAAAAAAGAAGCTGTATGAGTATTCTACTCTGGAAAGTTTAAGAAATTTAAGGAAATAATTTGGGTACAAATACACCAAGTGCAAAGAACAATGTGTACAAAGAATCTGCCAGTGTCCAAAGAACCATGACAATTGTGGGGCTGACTAGAGAGGGGGAGATGTGGTTCCATCCTGTTCAGAACATCATGTATCCCACTGGGAGCCAACAACATGTTGGGAAGGTTTCTTAACAGTTCTAAACATCATAAAGGCCAGCCTCGTGGCTCAGTGGTAGGAGAGCTGGATCTCACACGGCTGACTCTGCAGCTCAAATTCCTGCCCCTGCAGCGTGGAAAACATGCCAGGTACATGTGCATACATGGCCACAATCCCGACAGGAAGGAGAAATGGAGAAGGGTTGCATAATCAACTCCACTGGTGTTTTCTCTTTCTCCCTTTTTCTCTCTGGTGAATATACATGCTCCTTAGGGAAAAAAAAAAAAAAAAGTCACATGAAGAGATGTCAGAATTCCATGCGATTTTTGTTTTTCCAAATAGAGGAGAGAGCAGTGAGTTCTAAGAGTGCTCCAGGTCCAGGTAGGAGAGTGGAATGGGAAATTCAGAGAATGGGAATGAGCCTGGGTTTGGGGAAAGGCCCAGAGGGTTTGAGTCAGACCTTGAAACCAACGATCAGATTTTCCCTTTCTGGGAGAGTCTGATTGCAGCTTGGAGACCAAGAAGGGCAGATGTCATACTGAGCCCCTTCTAGTCTGACACACAGGCTGGTCCACAGCTTCCTTTGAAGCCTGAAGAGTGCTTTGTGGTCTCTGAAATCTGTACCCTGAATATAAGGTCGTAGTGGCCTTGCAATTAAAATGATAATCAGCTGGTGCGGTCCATCAACCATGAGCCGTAGAAATAGCCTTCTGCCTTTGAGGTGCCACTCATTGTCCCTGCCTGATGGGCTCAGTAGAGCCTGGAGTGGTCTGGGACAGTCAGTCAATTATGTGTTGACACAGTGGCTGGGCTTACGTGAGGCCTGGTGGGTGCTGGGGGAAGCACTGGAAAAAGCCCTGGGGAAAAGAAGGCTGCAGACCAGCCAGGGCTGCCCCAGGCCAAGGCCCTGATTGAGTCCATCTGTGGCAAGACCATGCACAGCTACACGGGGCATGGGATCTAGATTTTTTTTTTTTTCCCCAGACTTAGGTTCCCTAAATGTCTTAGGGATGGGGATTTTCCAGGTAACTAAATGTTCTGGTTTGTTGATACTGAAGCAGAAAAAGATGTCTTCTAATGTCAGCACACGTTTTAAGTATAGATAATTAGATAAGACTGAGGGTCCTTCCGTGGACTGAGCCCATTTCTCTGCCTTTCAAAGAACATGCCCACCAGTAGACTGGACCTGAGGATAAGCCACGGTTCTAGTGATATAGAGTAGGAGCTGCAGGAGGTGACGTAGGTTGATTCGGTGCATCCTGAAAACTTTTTTTTTTTTTACACCTAATTCCTAATATAATCATGTGGTGGTTTCCGGGCTAGGTGGTGCACAGTGGTAACATGCCACGTTCTGCAAGTCTGATGCATGTAGGAATGTCAGGGGTTCGTGTCCAGAGATCTCTGTGAGTATACCAGGCCCCTCCATGATCTAAGACTGGCTGAGGCTGGCGTTAGAAAGCTGCATCGGAGATCCTCTTGGAGGGGCCAGTGGGCGGGGTGGTAGACTCCCAAATGGTCGACCATGGTTTGAGTCCTGGACCAGGTGGCTTGAGAATCTTGCCAGGCATGTGTGTGCATGCATGCCCAAAATTCTAGGAGGAGAACAGAGAGGAAGGGATTCTGTTGTGGCTGTCCCACCCCCCCAGGGGGTGGTTTCTCATTTTCACTCTGTCTCTCAACAGCAAGTGTACATGCCTTATGGCAAAAATAAAATAAAATAAAATAAAAATCCTGTTGGAGATTCTGCCTCTTCCACTCATGGAGGAAATAAATAAATAACTAAAAAAAAAAAAAAAAAAAGGAAGTCTTAAGAAAAAAAAAAGTGGTGTTTTTTGTTTAGTTATCTGTTGCTGTGCCTATAAATTGAAATCTAGTAAAATGAGGTGTGGTGGGGAGATTGTTAGGATGGCCCATGATCCCTGTCTCCTGGAGTTCACACCCCGTGACCCCCTCCTCTGCACGAAGATGGGATTTGTGACCTGCTTCCAAACAAGAGAATGAAGCAAACGTGGTGGGTCTCCATGACAAGATGTACATGCTTACTGTGTCACACAAGGCTGTAGCACCAACCTTCTTTCTGTCGTGTTTAGCACCTTGCTAAATATTCTTTTCCTCCCTTGCTGGCTTGAAGACAAGTAAGTGGCCATGCTGGGGAACCCCACATGGCAAGGAACGGTGGAGGACCTTAAGTCGCTGAGGGTAGTCTCTGGCTAACATCCAGTCTCAGTCCTATAACCACAAGGAACTAAATTCTGCCAATGACCTGAGTGAGGCTGGAAGGGGCCCTTCTCCAGCTGAGCCTCAGATGAGACCGTGGCTCCAATGTAGCTTGACTGAAGTCTTATGAGAGTTTAAGCAGAAGATTAGCTGTTCTGTGCCCAGCCCCTGGCCCACAGAAACTGTGAGGAAGCAAATGTGATTAAACTACTAAGTTGAGGTGAGAATCTCTTCTCTGAAAATGCTTGGGACCAGATGTGATTATAATTTTTCAGGATTTTGGAATACTTATATATGTATAACGATATATCTTGGGAATGGGACCCAAGTCTAAAACATGAAATTCATTTATATTTCATGTGTATAAAGTAATTTTATGCAGGAAGTAAAGATTGCATACTCTGAACCATATGTATAATGATATATCTTGGGAATGTCTAAAACAAGAAATTCATTTATATTTCATGTGTATAAAGTAATTTTATGCAGGAAGTAAAGATTGCATACTCTGAACCATCAGAAAGCAAAAGTGTCACTATCTCAGCTCCCTGTGTGGACAATCTATGACTGACAGTCTTCTTTTCCCCTGGGGGCACTGGATAAACTAAGTGTTGTTTGTGCTTTGACTGCAATCTGTCACATGAGGTTAAATATGCTATTT